GTAGCAAAGCACAGGTATCGAGCTTGTGTGTGTGCGCGTGTGTGTATTCATTCATCTATCATCTAACTATCTCTTTCTGTCTCTATCTGTTTGTCTGCCTGCCTATTTATCCATCAAGCTCTTTGTCCCTCCATTTGTCCGTCCATCCACCCATCTTGATAAAGATATTATAACGAAGTGAAACACCTGGTTAGACCCAGCCATTTCCACTTATCTGATAAACCATTTTCCCCTGCAGAAGGCTTTCTGCCATTTCAGTGTGTATCAGTACTTTGAGTGTAACTGCTTAAGGCTGAAAAGCCAGCAAAGGTCAGTCATCTTTCAATTCAGATTCTCATCTAGACTAGAGAACATAGCTGGCGTTGAATAGCATGAGAATGCTTGGGGCAAAACTTTGGTTGAATTTATAACGCACTGGCCCATTTTTTTTATTTTTTCATTTAGCACATCTCACAAAAAGAGACTCTGGGCAGCTTCTGAGCAAAGTAACAATTAAAACCTTTTCAAAATATTTAAAAACAGAAATAAAAACGTAAAAGAATCAAACTTAAAAGAACTCCAAGATAATTGGAGCACAAGCATTATTAAGCCTCATTAAACCATTTTTAGGTTCACCCTGGGATGTCCAAGGTTGATGGAAGGACCATGTTTTCAGAATAACAGAGTTGGAAGGTCTTCTAGTCCAGTGGTTGCCAACCAGTGCCGGGGACCATTGGTGGTCTGAAAGAAAATTTTGGTGGTCCGCAGAGAAATGTCACCCCGAAAGCACCCCCCAAAGCAATGCTTCTTTCTGATTCTTTTTTCTTCTGCTTTTGGCTGCACGCAAGGAAAGCAGCGAAAGTCTTTCTTTCTCTCCCCAAAACTGCCAGAAATGAGTCTTTTGGACCCTGCAAGGCATCCTGCTCCAAGAGGCTATGCCGGCAAAGACTCATTTCTGGTGGAGTTTGGGGGAGAGAAAGAAAGACTTCTGCTGCTTCTGCTGCTTTCCTTGCATGAAGCCAAAAGTCTCTCAGTCTCTTTCTCCCCCTGAGAACGGAGCAGGAGACTGTATCATGCGACCCCAAATAAAAAATGATCGATCAGTAGGAAAACAGGGTGGGGAATTTTCCTGCAGACTTTTTGGGGGATTTTCCCAGGGTCTCTGGTCTATGGGATTTAAAATTATGAGTTTGGTGGTCCCTGAGATCCAAAAGTTTGGTGACCCCTGTTCTAGTTCAACTGCCTGTTCAAGCAGGAGATCATATACAATTCTGAACAAATGGTTGTTCAATCTCTTCTTAAAAACCTAACACCCACAATTTCTGGAAGCAGTTTGTTCCACTGATTAATTGTTCTCACTGTCAGCAAATTTCTCCTTAATTCTAGGTTGGATCTCTCCTTGATTAGTTTCCATTTGTTGCTTCTTGTCCTGCCATCAGGTACTTCGGATAAATTGTCCTACTTTTATTTTGATAGCTTCCCAGTCTTGGGAGACTGATATCATGTCACCCCTAGTCCTGTTTGTTAGATTACACATACCCAGATCCTGCAAACATTCATCAAATGTTTTAGCCTCCAGCCCCTTAATCATCTTTGTTGCTCTTCCCACAACATACTTTTTATATCCTGGTGACCAGAACTGGATGCAGTATTCCAAGTGTGGTCTTATCAAAGCAATATATAGAAGTGCTAATACTTCGCATGATCTTGATTCTATCCGTTTGGTCCTGTGACCAATCCATTTTACGACCGTCATGACTTAAAATTGTGATGGACAAGCTCCATTACATTCATAAGCTGAGCACTACCTTGTCTTGGAGAACTTCAGAACATCCCATTCTAGTCAATTGGTTTCCAGCTGTTTTTTTTTTTTTTTTGATGGAGTACAATCTTTTATCCCTCACTTTTCCATCGTCCTCAGCTGTGGAACTTAAATGAGAGCTGCCTGATGTTATATTTCTCAGAGCTAGAGCCCTGTGTGGCCTATGTTTTTGTCAATATTTATTGACTGCCATTTACCACTGACCATTTGCTGCAAACATTATGCCATTAAATTTCATTCCAGTTCTTTGATTAAAGTTAGTCCTGATGGAGCTGGTAATTAACCAAAACAGCAACATCAACCCACCACTGCTGTCATTTGGCAAAGAGGTGTGTGTCTTCAGGCAGCAGTTATCAGCATGGGTCAGAGTTGTGGCACAGTGTCTGGATGTACAGCAAGAGGTTTTCATGAGAGTTTAAAGGTGGAGTCCCAATCTTTTCCCGTGGTATATTTCTGAGATAAGCTGTCTTGGAAGGAGAAAGATTTTCTGCCTTTTTTAAAGCAAAAAACCCCCACCTATCCTTTCCCCATGGATCATGATTTTTCTGTTGCTTTATTATTATTTTTTAAGCTGCAAAAAAGCCAGCTTGTTTGCTTAGAAATTGCTTGCTCTAATTGGCAGGCCAGACAGACCTCTGTGGTTAGATTAGTCTGGAAAAGATGAAATCTATTTTATAATGCTCCTTTCAGGAAGGGTGCAGAAATTTGTAGAGTAGACTGGGAACCAGGCTATCTCTAAGATTTCTGTGCCCTCCTGTGCTGTGCATCTCTTTTTGCTATTGCATTTTTTTTTAATGTAATCACAGATCAACCGAAGTTGTTCATAGATGAAATATTCTGTGGGTGTTAAGCACAAAGAGAACCGTGCAGTTCAATTCAATTGATAGCTTCAGAATTTAATACGTGGGCATAAACGGTGAGATCAAAGAGGAGAAGGAGCTAAATTCAGCCATCGGTAATTTAACAAATGAATTACATGTCAGATGTCTTTATCAACATTGTAGAGTCACAAACATTTCTCATTTCTTGTAATCTAAAGTGGTGATTCATAAGCTTTCATGTTTCTGAGAGCTCATTTTACATGATCTGGATTGTGTTGGAATAATTGATGCCAATTCCCAGAGAGATTGATGGATGACTCTTACATTCACAAAGGCTGCAACTGTTGGAATCAAATGTTGAATTTGAACTAAACGTCCTTGGTTTAAACTTCAGTGTTATGGGTCCTTCCTTGTACACAGCTGGCTATGATCACACATTAAACACAACCATATCAACTAAAGAGGGAATACACTTCCATTTTCACAAATGCAGCTTGGCAAGTGTTAACTTGGTGTACAATTTTAATGGTTTGCTGTGCTGTTTGAGATCCTTGGTGTTCTCTGAGTTGAGTTGTTCTCTTGCAGATGTTTCATTACCTATCTTGATTACACCATCAGTGCTGATATCTGCAAGAAACATCTGCAAGAAAACAACCAAGCTCAGAGAGCACCAAGACCTCCACAGTTCAGCCCCACAGTGTGCTATGCTCTATGAGGTCCTTGGTGCTCTCCGAGTGTGTTTTCTTGCAGACGTTTCATTACCCAACTAGGTAACATTATCAGTGCTGATATCTGCAAGAACCATCTGCAAGAAAACTATCAAGCTCAGAGAGCACAAAGGGCCCCACAGTTTAACCTTGAACTACAAATATTCTGTGAATCCAGCACTTTTCCTTAATTTGTGGTTCAGTATCCCAAATATGATTTTTTTCAGGAGCCAACTGGACTTTCTTATTTTTTCTTTTGAAGACGTTTCGCTTCTCATCCAAGAAGCTTCTTCAGCTTCTTGATAGGATAGTGGGGAATGGAAGATAATCCTCCAAGTGCTTCAACAACTTTCTAAAAGGATGCAAATGACCAGCTGTCTGCAAGGAATATAAACCCTTCCATTTCTCATGCTGCCTGAATTCCCTTGTTTGCGTGGCCTGGGTTCTGGCATACCGCACCCAGTACTGGTTCCCAAACCAGGGGTTGGTGACTCCTGACAGAGGCATGAATGTATGTATGTGTTAAATTTGTATCCTGCCTTTTTATAGAAGCTCAAGACAGCAAACATTCTGCTTCCTTTTTCTCACTTGTACCTGCAAGTCTAAGATCTATTTAACGCCTATTTTGCCCTCGGATCTTGTCTCTTTAATTTGTGTCGTGCCTCCCAGCATGCTGTTTGGAGGGCCAAGAATGTGTCTACTGAATGTGTCAAGCTTTCCTTTACCTAATTTTAATTCTTCCCTTTATTTAAAATTTGAAAAGTTGATTGAGGAGCCTCTGCCTACCAGCATCCATCGGTATTCATCTGGCTAGCGTCCTGTCAATGTGTGAGAGAGTTGAGGGCAGTTTGGAAACTGAAACAGTATTTGCTATGTGAGCAAGAAGGAGACAGCAAGGAGCCTGGGCATGGCTTAGCTCAACTGTTCTGTACTAAAGCCGCTCGATGCCATGAAACTAAAACTGAAACTCCCCTCTTCTGCTTGTGTTTTGCATTTGGAACAGCTTTCTTTTCAGGTGGGGAGGGGGAGTAGAACTCCTTAGCATCAGAGCATGTTAATAATAATATACGAAATACTAATGCTGTGATGGTCATTCTGAAAAATCCTTTCTTTGTGAGCACCTAGAAGCCAAGAAGAACATATGTACCAAATTTCAAGTTTGTAGGTTTTACGGTTCTGGAGCTTTTGTGATGATGCGTGAGTGGTATTTCGCTTTTATGTATATAGATTTCAGAAGTTGTGGGTGCCCCATCACTGGAGGCTTTCAAGAAGACATCCATTTTGTATTTATAATTACATATGTATGTATGTATGTATGTATGTATGTATGGTATGTATGTATGTATGTATGTATGTATGTATGTATGTATGTATTATCTTGTCATATTTATGTTTATATTAGAGGTGGAGACCTTTCGACAGCTGTATGCAGTGTAATTTCATTTTAATGTATGACGATGAGTGTGCATTCAACGTGACAATAAAGTTATTCTAAGTTCTACATTTCTTGTCCAAAATAGCATAGCCTCTCCTGTTCTAGCAGCGGGTTGGACCAGATGACCTCCAAGGTCCCCTCCAACTCTGTTATTCTATGATTTAAACATGTGTTTCTGCTACAGGAGGCTTTGGCTCACTGGCCCTGTGTCCTGTTTTTTGTTTCTCTTTTCCCAGGGATGGTAGAAATTTGCCTTCTCCACATGCTGAAGCGTCGGGCATCTGGCTTCTTACGGACGGACAAGATCGCTGCACTTTTCACCAAGGTTGGCAAGACCTATGACGTGGCCAGTGAGATATGCAGGAAAGTGCAGGAGTTGCTGCAACAGGTTGAAGGCAGGTGAGGGTGATGTTCATTTTGTGTGTGTGTGTGTGTGTGTGTGCTTCCTAGTGGCCAGTCAGATGCCTCAGGCTGCTCACCATCCTATTCTTGGGTGGCACAACCGGAAGAGATAATTATGCATCTTGCACTCTCTGCAGCCACCGTGATTATTTTTAACGTGATGATTCCAGGATCAGAGCATTGTTGATAGGGTCCATCATGCTTCTTTGGTATAACAGAATATAACGGAATAACAGAGTTGGAAGGAACCTTGGAGATCTTCTAGACCACCCCCACCCCCACTCATGCAGGAGACTATACCATTTCAGACCAGTGGTTGTCCAATATCTTCTTAGAAACCTCCAATGTTGGAGAATTCACAGCTTCTGGAGGCAAGTTGTTCCACTGATTAATTGTTCTAACTGTCAGAAAATTTCTCCTTAGTTCTAGGTTGCTTCTCTCCTGGATTAGTTTCACCCAGTGCACAGCCTTTTTGACCCAGTGCCCTGGAATCTAACCAAGTAAGATTAGGGAAATGAAAGATAGTTCTCCTGACATAGTGAGATAGTTCTTTCAAGTTATATATGATTCCTGGGAAAGGCACAGTGAGGGAAGGAAAAAAAATAATCTGACCACTATTAATCGAAGTATCCTCGACATACGACCTTCGTGGAGCCTGTCCATTGGGGTCATATGTTGTAACGATCATAAAATTATGACTTTTTTGCAGCGATTTTTAATCAAATCCTATAGTAGTGACAAACCCTGCAGTCATTAAGCAAACAAAAACCAAACCCACAGTTTTGCCAAAAACAGGAAGTAAGTGGTGGGTTTTGGCAAAACCATTCTAAGATCCAGTCACGTGACCACAGGACACGGTGAACCGCCATTAATGCGGCCATTTTGCTGAATGCCCGAAGTTCAGTCATGTGACCATGGAGAGGGTCTAACCATTAGAACTTTGAATTCAGGTGGTAAATCTCCTTTTTCAGGTCAGTCATAACTTCAAACAGTTGTTAAGCAACTGATGATAAGTCAAGGACTAACCGTGTAATGCTGCCCAGTTGATTCCCTTTCTACTGGGTCTCCTAAAGCTCATGGTAGGCCTTCATGATTGAGTTTATCTTCTCCCTATATCTTCCAGAGACTTAGAATCAACCTTGGACCCACAAAGTAGATTTTTATTCTCTAATAATTTTGCTCTGTGAGGGAGATGGCCAGTTTCCAAATTTGGTAATTAAATAGCCCAAATTGGTGCTTGAGTCTCTCTAACCAAAACAATGCAATTAGATCAGCAGATAAATTGTGGTGCCTTCTAGACCAGGTGTCTCCAACCTTGGCCACTTTAAGACTTGTGGACTTCAGCTCCCAGAATTCCTCAGCCAGCTTTGCTTTAAAGTGGTACCTATTTTGCTGGCTGAGGAATTCTGGGAGTTGAAGTCCACAAGTCTTAAAGTGGCCAAGGTTGGTGACCCCTGTTCTAAATGTGTCATTCTCCAGTTTCCATAAGCCCACGTCAAGTTCTTATGCCGTGCACCTGTGAGAGATTGGAAAAGTTTGCTCTGGATCTAAGTTTTTCAAACTTGGCAGCTTTCCTTTTCTCCTCAATTTAGCAAGGAATCCCTTGGGGATCATGTTGACTTCTGTGTCTGTTAAGTTGAGATCCCAAATTCTATCTGTGCAAACTCAATCCCACAAAGAGCTTCAAAAGAGAACGTGTCCATTTCTTCTTTTCCTTTGCAGGTCATCTGTAAGCAACGGGGAGAATGTAGGCAGGTGGTTCAGCTTTCCGACTGGGTTTCCATCTCTGTTCAGGTCACTAGTTTTATATTAAGTAAGAATCAGATGTAGTAGAGAAAAATAAGATCCCCTTTTCTTCCTTTTGACTGGGAAATTCGAAGAGGGAAAAACGATTTCCAGATGTTTTGTTTCTCCCCCCCCCCCCCCCAATTCCCATTTTTAACTAGTTTGTCCGTAGCCATTTGGGTGGTCAGGAAACACTTTGGAAAAATATGGATTTTTCCCCCCACTTAGTGAACATTTCAGAATTTAAACAGCAATTGAGTTGGCTGCGAAAGGAATTGGTTGAATTGGCAAGCAATGTCACTGCCTTTGCCAGTGAAACCACTAGTTTTCTTGGCCGCTCTTCCCTCTTTAAACTCGGTTTTCCACCACTTTGTGGCTGGATTTTACATAGCAATTGCCAAGGATGGAGACAATTCATGATGAAGAGACACAAAATAAAATACTTATTTAGGCTGCCCTGCCTGGCAGATTTTCTTCTGGCAGACAGGCATAAATGGAGCCACGGATGCAACCTCTCATTATATACGGTACAGGGGAGAATTACATAATTTCTTGTGTACTTTCAATATATTTGAGAGAGTTTGTTAAGTCATTGCCTCTGCTCACTTTCAGTTGGGCAGCAAAGGGGTTGACCGCACAGGGATGAAATCGGTTTATTTAGCAGATGCAACATTATTCCAGGATTTTTATTTATATCCGCCTTTACTATTATTTATCAGTAACTCAAGGCGATGAACACAGATAGGACAGCTCTACAGAGGGTTAAACGTCATTCCCAGAAGATCATTGGTTGCCCTCTCCCCTCTTTGGAAGAGCTTTATAGCTCCTGCTGCCTTAAGAAAGTTCAAAACATTCTCAAAGATCCATCTCATCCTGGGCATCCTTATTTTGAACTATTACCACCTGGCAGGCGGTACAGGGCAATAAAGACAAGGACAAATAGGCTGAAAAACAGCTTCTATCCCAGAGCAGTAACTCTATTGAATTCTACTGTATAGTGCAATATTAATGCAATCAGGGGTTTTCAATTCAGTTGCATAGAACGTGAAGGATGTGTGTTTTTATTTTATTTTTTATAGTTTTCTTATGTTTAATGTACACTGAAGATGGCATTTATTTTCATTGTACGAGGTGCAATGACAATAAAGTACTACTACATCCTCCTCCAATCTTTTTCACAACAACCCTGTGAGATGGGTTGGTGCGACTAGAACTCACAGTTGCCTGGGGATTGGCTCAAAGTCACCCAGTCGGCTTTCATGCCTAGGGCGGGACTAAAATTCATGGTTGCCTGGTGATTGGTTCAAAATCATCCAGCCGGCTTTCATGCTTAGGTGGGACTAGAACTCACGGTTGCCTGGTGATTGGCTCAAAGTCACCCAGCTGGCTTTCATGCCTAGGATGCAACTAGAACTTACAGTCTCCTGGTGATTGGCTCATAATCATCCAGCCGGCTTTCATGCCTAGGACAGGATGGTCTGCTGAAGTCCTCACATCTTAAAAGTTGCTAAGGTTAAGAAACACTGTTCTAGTTAGTTAATAATTCCGTGGGAAAATTAAAATGAAATAGAAATTGATACTATTGGAGCCTCCTTTGTGGTGACTGAGACTGGGGCATCGGTGCTCTGCCAGTATTTGGAGATAAGAGTGTACGTTTTGCAAATACAACCTTTGATGTGGATTCTGCTTCTTTTTTTTTTTTTTCCTAACAGAAAATACCAGCCAGCTGGCCAAGAATCCCTGAAGAGGCAAGCTTCAACCACAAACAAACCCTCTTCGTTGTCCCCACAAGCCATCAAGCACATCTGGGTGCGCACTGCCCTGATCGAGAGGGTGCTTGATAAAATTGTGCAATACCTTGTGGATAACAATAGGTAAGAAGAGTGCCAAGGTTTACTTGGGTTATTTTTGTTGTTGTTGTTGTTGGGATGGTATATGCCAGGGGTCTTCAAATATGACAGCTTTAAGACTTGTGGACTTCAACTCCCAGAATTCTTCCTCCAGTCATGTTAGCTCAGGAATTCTGGGAGTTGAAGTCCACAAGTCTTAAACTTGCCAAGTTTGAAGACTCTTGTTGTAGAGGCTGATGGACAAAGCTGGGGCTTGGATCTTTGGCCCCATCTATAGGTAAAACAGTGCTATTTCTCCCCTTTAAGATAGTTAAGTCTTCCTGGGAGCACAGAAAATCATCTGTTTTAGGGACTTGGAGATTAGGTGGAGACTAGGTTGAGATGTTGTGCTAAAAATTCATATGGCATGCTTTATATATGAAGTCAGCCATAGTGATACACTATGGGTTCAAAGAAAGCAGGGACTATGAGAGTCCAGCTGAAATTTGTCCATCTAACTTCTGCCTTGCAACAAAGATGATTAGGGGGCTGGATGCTAAAACATATGAAGAACGGTTGCAGGAACTGGAAATGTCTAGTTTAATGAAAAGAAGGACTAGGGGTAAAATGATAACAATATTCCAATATCTAAGGGGCTGCCACAAAGAAGAGGGGATCAGCCTATTTTCCAAAGCACCTGAAGGCAGGACAAGAAGCAATAGATGGAAACTAATCAAGGAGAAACCCAATCTACTACTAAGGAGAAATCTCCTGATAGTTAGAATAATTAACCAATAGAACAGCTTGCCTTTAGAAGTTATGGATGCTCCATCACTGAAAGTTTTTAAGAAAAGATTGGACAACCATTTATCCGGAATGATATAGGGTTTTCTGCTAGGGGAAGGGGTTGGACTACTCCAAGGTCCCTCTCAACTCTGTTATTCTGTTATCCTCTTGTCACCAACTGAAGCTTTTCATGGACTCAAGATGTTCCCACCACTTGCTCTGTGGTTAAGGAATAACTCTTTCCACCCCTTTGATTTCTTTAGCCTCACTTGGTAGGTCAAAAGTGGTTTGCCTCTTAGCTATTATTTTATTTATTTTCTGTTGTACTTTTTTATTGCATTTATATCCCAACTTTCTTCAGGAGTTCAAAGCAAGCATCTGTAGGGGGAATTCTTGGAGTTGAAGTTTATTTTCAAGCTGCTGAGATTTAAAACACTGGTTTTTGTTGGATTTTGCAAGCGATCCAATCAGCGCGCAAGTAAATAATTCAGCAGGATTCATTTATAGAAGTTTAAATTATTTTATATTATTGTTTATATACAATAATATAAAACATGATGCATATATACAATACCCATGCAGCTCTTGCATTGTGGTAGCAAGCCGAAGCAACCAGAACCACCAGAATTCCAGAATCATAAAATTTATACAGACCAGTTACCCTAAGCCATGGCCAGGCTCCGAGCTGTCTCCCAGGTGCTGTTTCTTAGTCACCAAACAGTTCCCATTGGCTAACTCCTTGTTATGGCTATCCCAGCTCATAATGTCTTATATACTGGCAAGATTTAGGATAAGAAGACTGAAGCCGTAGATCTGCATACATCACTAAGCAACATTTTTATGATGTTATCCATTCAGTCATGTCCGATTCTTGGCGATTCTATGGGTCAGGTTTCTCCACACCTTCTGATCTTGTATCCCAAAGCGGAGTTCAATTTCTGATGGCAGTTGACTATCAGGTGTAAAAATAGAGAAAAGGAAGATTTCATAAGAGGAAAACTTTGACTGCATCTAAACTTAAGTGAGCATGTAGGTTGAAGAGGTTTTGATCCCCCATTGAACTTTTCCAGATGTTCCCCCTTGCCATAACTTTTCCAGATGTCCCTTTTCACACATATGCACATAAAAGAGGGAACAAGCCAGGATTAGGGTCACTTTAACTTCTATTCCATTCAAAAATTTGCCTTAAAAATATTACCTCTACATACTACAAAATATATTGTGCTCACATTTTTCCTTTGTTTTAATTGATCGTGGGGATTGGTTTCTTCTAGCAAATATTATGAAAGAGAGGCATTATTGGCAGATCCAGTATTTGGACCCATCTTGGCCTGTCTTCTAGGTAAGTATCCTTTCTAAATGTTACTTCTATACAATTTTGAAGAACTTGGTTCCCTATGTTGTTTTCTAAAAATTAAATGGTGAACCCCAAATGTAATAGTTGCACCAGAGGAATTTGTGTGTGTGTATGTGTGTTGTGAATTGGTATGTTTAATCCAATATTTCTTAGAGTCTCCTAAACTATTTTGTAAGATTGTGAAAGTTTGAGAATAAAAGATATTAGAAATCTTTTGGAGAACATAAAATGTAACTGTTCAAAAGGATTTAAACTCCCCTATTCACTGCATTCATTCGCCGTTTTCCTACACTCTTTCCTGCAAATCCAAAGTTTTCGTAGAGGCCCTTGCAAATTTTATCTCCAACACAGATCTATCAAGATATTTTAATTGGCTCAGAGTTACCCAGTGAACTTTGTGGTTGGATGGGATTTGAAGATGAGTCTCTCCAAACCAAGTCCAACACTTTAATGGTTAGATTACAGTTAGTCCTTGACTTACCACCATTAGTTTAGCAACTATTTGAAGTTTTATACAGCACTGAAAAACCTATGCCTGGTCTTCATACTTATGACTATTCCCATAGTCACATGATAAACATTCTTGATAACTGGCATATATTCACAATGATTGTGGTGCCTTGGAGTCATGTGATTTCCATTTGCAATCTTCCCAGCTGGCTTCTGACAAGCAAAGTAAATGGGGAAACCTGGATTCATCTAACAATTTCAGTGATTCATTTAACAATTGTGGCAAAAAAAGTTTATGAAAGTGAGTGTGACTCTTTTACAACTGCCTTGCTTAGCACTTAGAAATTCTGATGACAACTGCAGTTGTAAGTCAAGGACTACCTATACACTATATAACACAAATAGGAGATTTAAATGCACTACAGTTTCCTCTTCCTCTTCTTTTCCTTCGCCCAGAACTTGTGTGCTTCATTTATCCTTAGGGACAAGTCAGAGAAACCTCTGGATTTGACATTTAGAAAAACAGATAATCAATGCCTGTTGTTTCCAGCATTTGGGGTTTGAACCTAAATACATCCCTCCACCAAATAGAGTCAAGTTTCAAGATTGACTTGGAGGAAGCCAAATGGCGAATCTGGGGGAGGAATTAAAAGATGGATTAGCCTAGAATCCTTACATAGCAACAAGTGAACTAAATCTAATCTCCCTTGAATTCCATGGACCCTTAGCTAACTCCAAGCAGGTGTTAACTGATAGTTGAGAAGATTTCTATGCATAGGCTGTTTAATTAGACCTTCAGGTGCGGACCTGGTCATTCAAACCTGACACCACTAAATCTACGACAGGCAAGGTTGGAAGATCTGTAGCCTTCCGGATGGTGTTGATCTGCAGCTTCTAACATCCTTCCTCAGTAGCTGTGATGGTTGAATTATAGGCCTGTGGCTTGAAAACCAGCCAGCTTTCCCCCCAGCATCATGCCCAGCCGGAGATAAAATTAGCTAGTATAAAATTTCAGGCATTTTGTAGTTTTTATGTATGCCTCGCTTCCCAGCTGTTCACCACTTTTACTATCCTGTGGCTGAACAAATTCATAGCTAGTTGAGTTAAGTCAATATTTTGTTGTTCACAGGATTGGTCTAGTAGGGACCAAAATGCCCTTCCCTCCTCTTCCAGGTACACAAGCAGTTCATTTTTGAAACAAAATGGCTGCTCTAAGAGACCCAGGCCTGACCACCAAATATTTTGCTGACATTTCCAGATCTAGTATTGGAAATGAATACTTTCTTCAATCTAATGACAGGGCTAACCCCGACCTTCCAATTTGGGAGGGAAGCAAAATCTATTTATCATTTAAATCAGAATCTCTCAGTCTTAGCAGCTTTAGGATGTGTGCACTTTAACTCCCAGAATTCCCTGGCCAGAATTCTGGGATTTAAAGTCCATACATCTTAACTGCCATGGTTGAGAAACACTGGTTTAAACAAATGAATATTTACTTTGAGGATTGGCCAGCCGACCTCAATTTTTAGTCCTCTTTGGGGGAAGAGAAGCATGTGACTCCATTTTCTCTGTCTGGCTTTCAGTTGGGCCTTGCGCCCTGGATTACACCAAGCTCAAAACGGCTGACCACTTCTGGACAGACCCTTCGGCAGATGAGTTGGTCCAGAGGCATCGGATTCATGGAACCCATAGTCGCCAAGACTCTCCTTCTAAACGGCCAGCCCTAGGAGTAGGTGATTTCTTCTCCTTTAATATCCCTCAAGTCTTTTTTTTTTAAAGTAATTTTGGAATACTTATACATACTGCTTTCCATTTCTTATATTTCAGAACATTTTGTAGCAGAAGCATGAGTTTATATAGGTATCTTCAGAACATCAGGTGGTAGAAACAGACAGTGAAAGAGGTGTGCAAACCATTTCAAATGCAAACGGATCTGAATCCAAACACCCCATTTTGATCAAACATGGGCTCTTGATCATTTGGAAGTGTTCTGAACTCAAAACAACTCTGTTTTGATCTCACAATACTCCCAGAGTAGCAGGAACAGCTTGTATTGTGCTCAAAAATGCTGTTTTGATACATTCTATTGTCTCCCTTTTATGAATGGTTTTGCACAGCTCTACTAATATTAATTACCAGGATTTATATTGCAAAGTAGGGTGCTGAATTAGGTGGCCAGTTCTGACCTTTGTTACTTGAACATGGCATTGTAATATAATTTATCTTTTTTCCGGGGGGAATCTCAATATTGCAGGGATTAGTAAATTCTTGGTTCTCTGGATTTTGCTGAACTAAAACTCCTAGCAGCTCCTGGTGTCTGCATCTGCTGGGACTTGTAATTTTCTCTGAAATTTACAAATACTCCCTTTCCATAGAAAGGGAACTGATTGATGGGTAACCACGATGCAAAAGAGATATTGAGATCCGAAAAACAGTGCAGAGAATAGCAACGAAGTGATAAGAGATCTGGAGGCTAAATTATATGAGAAATGACTGAAGAAACTAGATATGTCTAGTCTAATGAAGAGAAAAAGACTAGGGGTGATATGATAGCAGTCTTCAAGTACTTTGAGGGGCTATCACAGAGAACAGGGGCTCAACCTATTCTCCAAAGCAGGGGTGTCCAACCTTGGCAACTTTAAGCCTAGAGTATTTCAACTCCCAGAATTCTCCAGCCAGCAAAGCTGGCTGAGGAATTCTGGGAGTTGAAGTCCTCCAGGCTTAAAGTTGCCAAGGTTGGAGACCCCTGCTCCAAAGCACCTGAGGGCATGACAAGAAGTAACAACTGGAAGATCATTAAAGAGAGATCCAGCCTAGAACTAAGGAGATAGTTCCTGGCAGAGTGAAGAATTAATCAGTGGAATAGCTTGTCTCCAGAAGTTTTGGGTGCTCCATCACTCCATCAAGTTTTCAAGAAGAGATTGGACAGACATTTATCCAGAATGATAAGATCTCCTGCCATGGGCAGGGGATTGGATTAGAAGACTTCAAAGTCCCTTCCAATCCTTTATTATAGTATGATCCTCACTCAGGGTTATTTCTATTTCAATCCTATTATAGTATGATCCTCACTCAGGATTATTTCT